AACACGTGAGTGTTGGCCGAACAGCCCGAAGAGACCTCTCTTTCCTGTGCTGGGGCAGGAGCTGGCGGCTGGGCGGGAGCACGCCGGGCTGTGCCCCTGCCCCTCTGCCCCGCGCTGTGCGGCGGCGAGCTGCCCCCCGGGCGCTCGGGGCTGTGCAGGACGACAGAGCGCGATGGGGAGGAAAAGGGCTGCAAAAGAGCTGAGTTAGACACGGTGGTGTGGCCGGTAGCTTGGATTAGTACAGTTACTGCAATTCAGAGTATGTTTTTGTGGAGGAAAGATGGTCAGAATCGCTTGACCTGTCCGCATCAGCGAGCTGACGGGGCTGCTGAGGGGCACTGGGAGCGGACCTGAAGGCAGTGCAGCTGTCACTCTCTCCGCCTAGCTTCAGGCCTCAAGAGCTACGTTTAAGTGTTCACCGTGTGTTCCTGTGCGAAAGGGTGACGAGAGCTGTATGGTGTGGTCAGCCCCAGCCTGTGGTCTTTTTCCTGTAGTTCCTAAAACGTCATCAGGTTAGTCCCAGATTCTTGACCTGAGGCTGTAGATGTGACATGTCAGTGAGTGTTTCTTTGCTTTTGTTTTTAAAGATCTGGAAACTCTCTTCCCCCACTGTATGCCTTGCATTTAAAATCTGCCTGGAATCAGGGTTTTTCAGTGTAGTTGGCCCCCATTCTTGATAATATTCTGGCATGGAATTCCATTTTTTTTTCTAGAGTTGCAACCTAATTTGCAGATTTAAAGACACACAGGGATTCTACTGATAGCAATTAAAATTCTAAACCTTTGGACATTGGCCAAGCACTATTAAAAAGCAAAATGACATGGTAGGGCTGTGGGAGAAATGTTTGTAAGTAAGCTTTTTCTTTTTAAAAAGTGTCTAACATCAGGCTCGGGGGCTGAGGTACTGACAACGATACCGAAACCCCAGAATGGTAGCACTTGGTTGTAGCTGAGAATCCGCAAGAATTTACAAATTGCGTACCACAGCTTTGTGAAGAAACAAATTGAGAATGTCTGGTTTTAAGTTTAGTCATAAACTTAAAGTTCAGACCATATTTGTCAAAATGTTTGCAAAGCTTCATAATCTGGAATGATCCTATGTTCGGTTTTGAGCAAACATGGACTAGTTTTACGGTGTTATGCTCATCATGCAAAACTGATCTTTCTGTACTTGTATTTTTCTTTGTTTTTTTTTTTTTTTAAACTTGATCTCTAGCATTCAGTCAGCTTTTTCAGTGTGTGTGTTTGTGTCTCCTCTTTTCTATAGAGTCGGTTTACAGCTCAGAAAACTTTTCCAGTTCTGAAAAGACAAGGTGATGGTTAGGTGCTGAAAAATGCTCTACGCTTCCTACAGAACTGTTTAGGGAGGAGATGAAACAGGAGAACGTGAGTCTACGGAGCTGTAATTCAGTTTTTATTGTGGTTCGGTGTCATCCTCTTCCCTTGTCTAGATGTCTAATTTAAAAGGCCATTTTAGTTCCTAAATTACAGCTGCAGGTGGTAGATTTTGCTGTAATTAAAGTTGCTGAGCACTTCTCATCACAAACCCCCATTTTTCATGGTTTAAACTCTGCTGTGTTTTTTACTTTTGGTTTGAAATTTTCCATGATACATGCCAGCTTAGGCTGACTCCTGGGCTTGGGGCGTGCTGTAAGGAAGGGAAGGGGTGCCGCTGGGGGTGGGAATTCAGCAAAAATGATTTAATCATTCCTGAGAACAAAGCTAGGAAAATCAACATCTAAACCTTAACCCCTGCCCTAAACCTGATGAGCTTTAAAAAGGCATCAGGAGCTTTGTGTTTTGAGTTGGGCACACCAAAGATTTGTGTGGGTGTCAGGGTCACTTTGGATACCTCTCCACGTTTTGCATATTCATTTGGGGAAAGGTTTCACATGCAAAAACTCTCCAGAGGCTTTCTGGAGCTCTGCTGTTACCAGGCTTTAGCCCTTTCTTTTCTTCCGAGCGCCCTCCGCTCCAGGTGTGGTCCTACTGCTGGCTCCGAGCAGGGAGCAGTGCCCCTGGGGAGGGGGAGCCCAGGGCTCTGGCGTTGCAGAGGAGCGAGAGGTGGGACTCGCTCCCCAGGGCTGCGGGCTCGGTTATCCACAGGGATGCAGACGAGCTGTGAGAAGGGGAAGGGTGGGAGAGCAGCCAGTGTGGGTGGGGAGGGAGTTTGGGTGAACCTCAGAGTCCTTGTGGGTTCTGCTCACCTGGGGTTTGACTCTGTGAAACGCTCGGTCGCAGCGTTGCGTGCAGGGAGGGTTGGGGCTGTGTGGGGCGGTGCTGCCCCACACGTGGGGGAGCGGGCGTCTGCCCGGCCGGGCTCTGCTCGCTGGGGATGGACGCGGTGCGCAAGGCTGGGTGACATCCCCGGCACGCACTCGGGGCCTGCTGGTGCTCGGGTTGGCTGACGATTACCCCAGGAGATGCCACTTTCTGTTTTCTCCTCCCCCTTCAGCAGGTCGCTTCAGAGCTTGTTTACTTGAGGCTCCTCAGGTAACAGTCCTGTGGGACTTATTCAGGATTAAAGTTAGCTACAGATGCACTGTAAGGGGTGGAATTAAGTTTAAAAGGACGACTTTCTTTGATTTTGTGTTGGGGGAGCACAGACAGGATTGCAGGCAGGTGCATTTGCAGTATGTTTGTCCTTGCTCCTGTGGCTGCCAGGCGGGTGCGGTTACGGCGAGGGGATGTCTCGGAGCCCCTCGTTTTCGTGTGCGGTCCTTGCCATCAGTGCTGGAGAACACTGAATGTTAGCAAGCGCTGGCCAGGCCTGGGTGTTCAAGGCTCTGTGGGATCTCCTCTCTGTAAGTGAGGAAAATACATGACGGCTTGTTAGTCCGTCTGTTAGGGAGCTAACCTTTGAATCCGTATCGTTCCTATCCCTGTGTCTTTTAAATTGGGAAGGTTGTCAAGCTCAGAGTTTCAGAATTCCTTTCTATACGGTTTCTGAGCCTACTTTCTGTGCGGTTACAAAAGGAAGGCTTATTGCATGTGGTGCCCACATGGGTGCTCTCTGTCAGATTCCCCAGCGTCGGGTGCAGTGGGAGAAAACAGGGAGAAATTTTGCCTGTGCTGCGGTGGGGAAGGCAGCTGTAAGCTGCCTGCGGCGTGGGACACTGCTCGGGGAGCAGGAGACCTTCCCTCTCCCAGGAGGAGCATCCTTGCTGCCGCTGGGTGCGAAGCAGCCCAGGAGCAGGCTGCCGGCGGGAGGGGGTCGAGCCCTGCAGCCCCCGGCGGGAGGGGGGCCCGGCTGGGCCCCCGCAGGGTTCCT